TCTTTCCCGCAGGACCTCTTCATTTTAGAATGGAACCAGCACTCTATATTGAAGTATTTACTACAGGACCCTGCCGTGATGAGATCTATGGGAAAATCTAGCAGGGAAATGCAAAAAGGATCTCATGATTAGAGCAGCTATATGCCATTCAAAAGAAAAGACCTATATTCATGTGCTCCATACCACAATACCTGAGAAACTCAAATTGCAACAATTTTATTCTTATAACCACACATTCTCAAATGGGCAAGTGTAACAAAGCTCTTTTTAAGGGAGAAAACTAAGTTAATGGAATGAATCATGGAGAACTCAGGACTAATCTCTAAACTCCCAAGATAGCTTCCTATATGCATTTGTTTTAAAAGACTCTTTCTAGCATTACCCAGATTACCTAGTTTGAGCCTTCATATAACACAGACCTAGGAATTTGTGAAAACATTCAATCTTGATGTTAAAGTTTCCCTTCGTAAATTGTTCCAGAGATTACTGACTCTCATTGCTAAATCTCCATCTATGGCAGAGATTGCTCATTAGCACTGGGTACCTCACAAATCCTGCTGATAAACTAAATCAACTTAAAAGATGTGTTCCCATTTATATGGTAGGCTTTAGATCACATCAACTGAGGCAGGGCTAACTGGATGAAAACAAAGACACCAGGCAGGTGCCCAGCTGTCTGGGCACCATCTATTCTGTGTGCTAGTGAGGCTAGGGTACCATGGAAGAGGAAAACACTTGATCAGAAATGAAAAACTGAACTGAGATACATGGAAGGAAGGAAAACTTAAGGTCAACGTGCAAGTTACACAACGGGCCTTCCTAACTTCACTGCCTGACATTTTTTCAATGCAGTTCTGATTGTTTGGTCTGAGTTTGAGACATGCACCTTGATTTGGTCACATCGCAGCATAAACAAGGCATGAAGAGTAAGAGAACAGGGCCATCAGGGTTCCATTAATGCATGTCAATTTCTTCTGATCCAGTTAAGCAAGAGCTACAGAAAGCAGTGCCCCCAGAAAGCAGCTGAAGTTGTGACCATCCCAATTTTAAAGGTCAGTATTTCAGGTAGGAATTTTTTTTTTTTTTTAAAGAAACAGAAAGAGACAGCCAGCGAGACAAGGGGGGGGAGCCAGAGTAATGTATGTGAGACAAGGCACGGGGGGCAGGGGACTTTAAATCTCTGCTTTTTTGATCTTTATTTGATTTTAAAAGGTATGTTTACAAGATGTTACCTCTCTTTCAGACACCTAGAGAAAACGGACTTTTAAGTGTATTAAAAGTAAACCTTTAGTAACCCTAGAAAATGGGCCCTAGGCCCAGTAGCAGATGCAAGGATTCTCCCTCACTCAATGGGATCCCTTCTGGAAGTCTGGATCATGCAACTGAGAGGCACTGATCACTTCCAGACATAATAGCATATATTACAAACACACCAGTGAGAAATACTCAAACTAACTAATGCAGGCAAATTCAGCACAAGTTTCTTCTTGATCTCCATTTATAAAACAATGACAACATGGAGAAGCTACAACTGCTGTGAAGAAATTGAATGGTTTAAACAATTGAGGTATTTTTTATAGTTCTTCCAGCACATTATTTCATCAGACTCAGGAACAAACTTCAACCATGGCAGCGTCACAGACAAATCTATTCTGAACAGTTGTCAAGGGCAGGTCTAATTGGCTCTGTCTGCATATAACACTGATTCTAACATGGTCTTTGAGACTTATTGTTTGTGACTGCTAGTAAAACACCACCACCAAAACAAAACAATACCACCACCACCATGAAAAACATACCACACACACAAATGCTAAATACCCAGGTTCTCTCTTTTGCAAGAATTTAGGCTACTTCTGTATTAGAAGATCTACATCTTACAAAGCATAAAGGATGAAAATGCTGTTCTAGTATTGAAATTTTGAAGAAAAACAGATTTTGAAACAAAAATTATTCTCTTATAAGCCAAATGGCACAGCACAAAGCTGAAAGTCAGAAAGTCTTTGTTCTTCCACACTAAACTTTACATGAAACAGCCTCACCAATAGAGAATAAATTTGATGTCTGGTTTAAGACACTTAACAGTAGTAAATAAATACAACTTCAATTCTTTCAAATACAAGTAGACAATACTTTTAAGTAAACAAAGCAAATTGTAATGCTTTTTATTTTAACATGACTTTCTGTGAGTGAAAACTCCAACAAATATTTACCATTGCCACTCTTACCTGTGGGTGATTCTTCCAAACCTCATATACAACTCTCAGGACATGGAGTTTCCCCTCATCGCTTTCAGCAAGTGCTTTGAAGACTTCATGAAACCTTTTAAAAAATATAAGTAATCAATAGAGGGGTTAGGATCAGGGCAATGAAGCATGGTAAGTGGTTTAGATGAATGTTTTCTTTCAGCCAATCTGCAGCAATTCTGGAAAGGCTAGCCCCTGACAAATAGGACTATCCCGAGTCAAAAAGGTTACAGAGATGCAACAACTCCTAAAAGCAACGTAACTCTGCCTCAGTGGCAAACTTACTCCCTGAAGCTAGGCTAAAGTTCTCATGCTTTTAAATGCAGGAGATAACTCTGCTGCTCAATGTGCTCATCTATATGCAGCCAGAATGAAATTTGCTCCCTTTTGTGCCTTGGACTTTGCCTGTTGATGTGTGTTTCCATAACCATAGACCATTATTCAATCTCCCACCCTAGGGAGGGAAACACTGCAAAAGCATCTACTTTAGTAGAGTTAAGCTGACTGCTACATCAACATTCACAGCCCAGTTTAAGTGGCTCTTTTTGAACTTATGGATACCATTGTTAGAATGCAGCAGTGAAAACACCAGAGCTCTGAATATGTAGAGGTCTGCTCCTTATGCTACTGACTGTAGGCTAGTGCCCATCATTTGTTATAAACAGTCATTATAAGTCTTTCATGTGCAGAAAAAAAAAGTCAGGCTTGTACATTTGAAAAGTATATAAAGCTATGTAAATAGAAAAAATAATTCAGTAAGACACGTGACCACCTCTCTCATATTGAGACAGTTTAACAGCATCAAAAATAACTTATTTTCATCTCATTTTGCTTAAAAAGTTGCAGTCAATCCTCTAGAAGTTAAAGCACATCTTTAAGGGTATGCACTCCAAAATATTCTGAAATGAATTTTCTTTTACTTGGGTAGATTTAAGAAGTTGGGTGGTGGGTTGGGTTTTTTTTGTTTGTTTGAAAACACAGACCTAACTGGTTTTGAGTCATACTGGTAGTCCCAACACACTGTACAAGACCTACAATACTGTGGTGGGAGCTATCCAGTCAGTCAACATGAGGCAATATCACTTGCTCCTCAGGACACTCAGCAAATGATTAATTTTAAAATGAAATTATATACCAGCTGTTCCTTCTCTGTGATGCTCCAACATACATTATGATTCTCAACTTGCACATGGAGCCAAAGGGGTTTAGGAAAGGTTCCCCCCATGCATACACTATATGGCTTTGTACATTTAAATATGCATTGCTCTTTGGAATACAGAATATACAGCAAAGAAACAAGCTACCTGATTCACTCTATGGTAGCTTCCCAACACTTCAGATACTAGTAGCATAATGTGCTGCAGGACAGTTAAGGAAGAACAGGCAAGGTTTGATGTGAGAGGAAAAAAGCAGGGCAAGCTACAGTAAGTACATTTTTAAGCCAGCTACAGCAGTACTCCTCTCCCATTATTCTCTAGGGTCTTCTGAACATGAAGCTCATTAGCATCACAAAGCAGTCAAGCACTTGCAGACACCTCCAGGAGAAGCAATAAGCTATCTCCAGCTTTTCTTCCAGCTCTTTGTCTCATGGACTTTGTAAGTCTAAATAAAGTTCAGTAATTCAAATGAAACCGGAAACAGGGAACGCATGATATCAGCAATAATTTTCCTCTTTTAAGTAAAAATATACAGAGAGTGCCTCATTTGTTTGGTTTAGAAACCATCATTAAGGAGATGTAATAGATTTGCAATTAGCTAATCCAGACACTAACTAGGATATTTTTCAGTACACAGTGGGTATTTCTCAAGACTTTGCAGTAGCATGTACAAAGAATCATAACACATTGCACTTGTTAAAGAGATTACTTAAAACTTCCTATTAACTCTCTCTATACTTTAGGTAGATTAAATGGGATTTGCACAATCAGGAGTCACATACAGAAATACTGCATGCCTAATGAGTTGAACTGGCACACAGATGATCCCCTTTCTTACCACGTGACTAACCTGCATGTTATTGATTGGTTTAAATGCAACAGCACGCAACCCAACAGCAGTATGCTTGTGGAGATAACTCAGTGCAATACCTGAAGTTAGTAACAAAAGCAAGGCGAGAGCTGGGTTGAAGGACATCTTTGTGGGCTACAATGACGGGTACAAGGGGAGTTATTTTAGCTCAATTTCAGGAGTACCACTTCCATTTGAGAAAGCTGCAGAGGTTTCCCCCCCCCCTTCGACAACAGAAATTTACAACATCCACCACTGCACAGATGTATGTTTCCTCCCCCACTTTTCGTCAACATTAAACTCCAGGAAAGACCTAATTGCTCCCATGCAGTAACTGAGTACCAAACAGTCTCCAAGTATTTTACAACCCTTACAGGAATACTGGTAGAATTAGGAACTGAAGCATAGACATTCAAGGATATACCCAGAGCCATGCTCAGGCCAAGAGTATGGATATGCACAGGTGTGATAATGGGAAACCCCAAACTGATATGTACCCTAAAACAGGCAGAACCCTCACCTTAATGCAGTCAACATACTTAAGATGTGCCCATTCTTGTTAGAACTCCATTCAGCTACATAACCTAGCTTTCACATTACCATCCTTTTAGTAAGCAGTATCACTGCTTTTGCCCAAACACACCATCACATCATATTGCATAGCACCTAAAATGTTCCTGAAGCTTGTAGATGAGTTATTTTATCAAGCACTTCACTGTCAGAATGAAATGTTTCTGTAAGCCCCAATATAATGCACATACCACACTTACTTAGCCAGAGCACTGAAGGAGTGGCTGAAAGACTTCGCAGCTAGATGGAGCAGAGTCTGTACAAAAACTTCTATTTTCAAAGGATTGAAGGTGAAGCCTTCATCTGCAAGTTATTTAAAGTTGAAACAATGAATATTTCAAGTAGAGCTTTTAAGTTGCTCCAAAAGCTTTAAAGATATTGTTTTAATTCATTTCATAAAAATTAAATTAAGCTTCAGCAACTGGATTCTGCAAGGTTGAACAGAGAGTTAGTAAATATCTTCTAAAAAGGTGCAGATCTTGGGACTTCCACCTATCATGGAGAAAACATTTAGAAATAGTTCCATGTTAATGAGGAATAGCAGCAGAGACACAGCCATGCTACTGGCATCTAACAGCACTGATGGAGAGCAGCAGGAAATGACAGCTAAAGAGGCTGCAAAAGTCTGCATTGGGTTGGAGGACAGGCAGGCCATAGAGCATGGAAAAGGGAGAGTGGATGAGAAGAGGGGAAGCTGCAGATGATTACGGTACAGAGGTTGGGTATTTGTAGTGGTTGGAGAAGGGTGCAGCAACTGTGCATAGGGGATGTGGGACACTTCAGGTGAATGGTTCCAAGGCCCCTGAACATTGCTGTAAACCTGCTGGCAACGATGGGAAAGAGAAGGAACACCGATTACTGTATGATCTTTATAGCAAATCAAGGAAAATACTATTGGCTCTTTGGCCAAAAAAGGCTCACTGCTGCCTCTGTGCCTGCATAACAGAACACTTGCAAGTATTGCAGTATTATCCAAACTGTCTCTGTGTTTTAAAGGTCACTTCTCAAACCTGTAACTTACATTCCTTTCAGCCCCCAAGAGCACATCGGCTTTGGAAATCAAGCATTAGCTGTGGCTGGACCAACAGCAAAGCTGAAAATAACTTGAGCAAAGTCCTATTGTGAGAATGTTAATTTCATTTAGATCTAGGGATAGCTAAGATAGCCAGGGTGCTAGCTTTAACTGCTATTGGACTATATCAAGAAGAGGCAAGCTCTTAAGTAGGGCACAAGCACTGAATCTTAGGGACAAAGCTGACACCATGAATTGCACTCTAACGCTGAAGGCAAGGGGAAACGTTAAAAATCCTTCATGCCACCTCTGTAGATAATAGAGGCAACCTAGCCCTTGGTGTGGGTTCTGGTAATTAACTAGAGCAGACCTGTCTCTATACATGACAAGTACAGAAGAAACGCTGACAACTGCATGCTGTTTCCATTTACTGTTAAACGGAAACTATTAGAATGGAAAGCATACAGTTCACTTACCAGCAAAACACGCAATAACACTATAGGATAGCAAAATGGTTTAGACACAAAACTAATAACAACCTAGCAATGTCTAATATCAAATGTCCTTACCATCATCATCATCCTGGTTTGGATTAGGCACATCTTTTAAAATGTTGAAGATTTCATCGTTACTGGCCTTATTTTTAATTGCAATCGTTAAACAGAGTGCTACAGTATACCCAGGAAGAGATCCTAAATGAAAAGAGAAAGTTCATATAATCCTTTTCAAGTCCAAGATGGAATGAATACTTTTACATCAGCTTATTTCTCAGAGAAGCATGTATACTTCCCAACTACCCCCAGAACTTGCTGCTCCCAATACCACTGTCCACATCACTATTCCATAAAATTCTTCAATGGGTTTCCTATTCTTCACAAATTCAAGTCCTTTTGTAGCACCTTTAATTGGGGGGGGGAGGGAAATGAATCTCCTGATTAAAGCTCCACTCCAATTTCCATCAGCTTCTTACAAATGCAATACTTGTATTTTCTCACTTATTTCTGTGCCTTTGATTGTGACAGTTCCTTCACATGATCTGCCTCTTTGCTTCATTAAATCAAGTTTGTTTAGTAAAATCTTTTAAGTGCCACGTTTGTTCAAAAATAAGTCTATATTATCTTTTGCTACACTCATTTCTGCACAGTATTCTGCCTGAACAATGGAAATATATGAAGTTTTCTTTTTTAGACTCCTGCAAGCCAAAACAATGCTGTAGCACCTAGGCTGCAACCATCTCAGCATGATTTAACTTCATACAGTTTTTTTTTTTTAAATTAAAAAAAAGCCTTATTTTAGAAAGATTCAAACTTAAGCTATGTTTATTTTAGCTGAATTCTTCTTCATGAAGTCAACTGACATTCCCTTGCTTTGAAAATTTTCTTCGACTTGATTTCAGTAACTTAAATACTTACTATTGCTTTCGTCTCCATATTTGTAAATACACACTGGATTTGCAGGACTGAGGACAGAAAAGCTTGGAGGAACAATGTCTATTATTCGCTGATGGTAGGAGAGCCTGGAAAAGTAAGTTTCACAGCAGTATAATTATAATGGAAATATCATCAGGGCTGACTCAACTCTCTGATTTAAAATGTTTTTCCTATTTTTTTAAGTTTGGGCAGTGTAAAAATCAAGATGTTTACTCAATGCAATAGCAGTTCCTGATAGATAGCAAGAGCTAACTAAACCAAAACTTTCTAGTAGATGCTTTAAATTCCGCGATACTGGAATTTCATCCTCACACAAGTCTAAGGATGCTATGTAGACAATTGGTAAGATACTGGCATTAAAAGCAGGAAAAAAAAATTAAACTAAACGGCTTTGTTTTACCTTCTGTCTTACTCACCTTAGAAACACTGAATTCCTCTACTAAATTCACAATAAAATAGAAAAAAGTCACAGACAACATGAAATCATTTTGCAGCACAACAGTTTTATGCTTCTTATATTAACTCACTTCTTATGTTAACTCACTCAAAACAACAATTAAACTTTTTCATCTAGAATGTTGAATTACATAGGTTCTTTGGACATGTTGCTCTTGCATGCTCTTATAACCCCCCGCCCCCGTTTCCACAATCCTGACAGCTGTTATGCTTTTGTAGCTTCTTTTTAAGGTCAATGAGAATCAGAGATGCCCAGAACAAGCAATATTAGATCTCTAGCTTAAGATAAATATGGATCAGTTCCCCCCCATTTCTGTGAACAATCAGTATTTTTCAGCACGTTACCTGAACTCTTTTTCCTTCCCTGCCTACCCTATTATCAAGTCTTTTTACCCTCCCCCAAACACAAAAAGTACAGTCGTCTTAATTTGTATCAAGAAGTATAAACAAGCGGGAAAGGTCACTTCCACTTGCTCCACCTATTTGTCCCCCAGTCCACTAGAAGTAGTGTCCTACAACAGGTACATTAGAACAAAACTGAGCAAGACAACAGAACAGTAACTACAAACGTTAATTGAGAACATATGTATGTCTAAGACAAGAGCCACATTAAAAGGAACCCACTATTACCTGGAAGCAGTGACCAAACTTCAATTTAATACAACTATGAAAGCAAGATGTTCAAAAGTCTTACCTCATGCATTTTTCCAAAACTTCTCTCACAAATTTGGATTTGGGCTTCTCAAGGTCCTGAGTAAGACAGTCTGACCTATCAAAGAAGGAAAAAAAAACCCACACATACAACCAAACAACAAAACAAAACACAACACACCCAAAACACATGATAACTTCTAACAAATGCACTTTGTTCTAATCTGTTTTGGCCTGATTCAACAGACAGAAAACATTCACTGGATATTCATACAATCATTCAGGTTGGAAAGGATCTCAGGAGGCCACCTACTCCAACTTCCTGCTCAAAGTAGGGTCAGGGTCAACACTGAATTCAGACCAGGTAACTCGGGGCTTTGTCCAGTTGGTCCTGAAAATCTCCAAGGATGGAGATGCTACAACCTCTCTGGGCCCCGTTCTAGTGCTTATTCTCACAATGAAATATTTTGCCTTATATCCAGATGGAACCGCCTCTGTTTGAATTCATGACCACTGTCTCTCATCCTCCTGTTGTGCACCTCAGTAAAGAGCTTGGCCCCATCCTCTCAGTAATCTCCTCATAGGTATTAGGAGGCTGCTATTAGGTTCCCCCCAAAACCTTCTCTTCTCCAGGCTGAACAAGCCCAGTTCCCTCAGTCTCTCCTCACACAGAAAGTGCTCCAGCCCCTGAAAAGCTTGGTGGGGCTTCTCATTACAGTTTATCAATGTCTGTCTTGTATCAGGGAACCCAAAATCGGGCATAGTATTGTAGATGTGGTCTAACAAGTGCCAAGTAAAGGGGAACAATCACTTCCCTCAATCTACTGGCTATGCTCCTGTTGATGCAGCCCAGGATGCTGTTTGGCCTTTGTCACTGCCAGGGCACACTGCTGGCTCATGTTTAGCCTATTGTCCACCAGGACCCCCAGGTCCTTTTCAGCAGAGCTGTTTTCCCAGCCAGTCAGTCCCCAGCCTGCACCATTGCAGGGGGTTAGTTCATCCCAGGTGCAGGACTTGGCATTTTGTCTGCAAGCTTGATGAGGGTGCGTTCTGCCTTCTCCAGGTCATTGATAAAGATATTAAACAGGACAGGTCCCAGGACAGATCTCTGTAATACTCCACATGTAACCAGCCTCCAGGTAGAGTACAAACCATTAACCACTACCCTCTGAGCCTGACAAACAGGCCAGGTTTTGCCTCTCCATCTTGGGCATCTCCATCCACCACTGGCTCAAGTGTAGCTTCTTCCTGTCCCTTCTTCCTTGTGTAAGGCTCAGGCTCTGGTCTTTGCAAGGTCTCTGTGCAGACCCTGTTGATCTGCTTGCCCTCCCCGATTCTACACAGCCTGCTCATCTCCTTACGCTGCTCCTTCACCTGATAACTAAGCCCTTTGGGCCAGAACTCACCTCCCACAAGTGAAGCCACAACTGCTCCTGGCCCCAGGAACTCCCTGCAGCCCCATACCTGAGCAATGATATTCTTCCTCCAGAGCTCCATCTGGGGCAAGGCTTTTAATTTGCCAGGGGTGCTGTCCCCAACCAGTACTGGGGACTGAGCCCTGTGGCACATCACTACATTGCTGCACAGCCCCACGCTGCCTGGAGCCCCTGTCAGGCTGATTGCCCTACTAAGTACCTCTGCTTTCTATACTCTGGGAGTTGC